ATTTATTGGTGACTGAACTCGTGATTTATGGTTTGATGATTAGGATAGATTACAGAAAGAAGAGTAATATGATGAATACCATAAGAGAAGAAGTTAAAATATATTTTTACTTATAACTGCTGTGAAGAATATCAGAATCCACTTCTTTATCTTTTTTCTTTTCTATTTTTCCTCAAGGTTTTTCCTTTTCTTGCACTTTTGCTTTTTCTTTGATTTCTTTCTTTTCCCTTTTTCTTCTTTATATTCGTCTGTGTTAGGGTTTATCTTCTTGTTTAAAAGCTTAGGGTCAGGGTTAGGGTGAGGGTATATTAAAAATTAATTAAATAGAAGCAAGGGCATGTTTAAAACTTCAGTTCTTCCTTCAGTGAACTAAAGGCCCTGCTCATTCTCACACTTCAAAGTCTAGCTGGTCAGGCTTAGGCTGAGTTCCAGAAGAACTGAGTTGGGGCACCCACTGTATATGTTACCAGGCTGTTTTTTCAGTGTGGTATTCCAAAGTGCTACAGTCACCATACGTTTTACACTTTCCAACAAGATTTGGCCAGTCCCATCTTGGCACTTTTCTTCCATCAGAATGCCATTGCCCACCCAGCTCACATGGGAAGTCTCTTCTGTTTTGGGGACCATCTTTTGTGCTCTCTCTTTATCTCTTAAGTCATCTTTGAAGCTGCCTTTCTCTACATGCAGCTTAAGTTGAAATCCTCCTGAAGAAACCTTTCTGTCTCTTTGACTTGCTTTGAGTGAGTCTCAGAAATCCCATCTTTCATACACATCCACAAAAACATGGCTTAACTCTACCTTCATGGCAATATACCGACTGCCAGTGTTTCATGCTAGTGCAATGTACTGGCATTAATGTACTGATATGAGGGTCATAAATTAATGTGGTTATACAGTATATGATTAACATATCCTACCACCCTGAAAATGTTGAGGCCCCATGCCTTCCCCTTTCCAGCCCAGAGAAAGGAGATCCAACACAGCCATTTTCCAGGGCCAAAGTTTTTCTGAGCAAAGGACACATAAGCAATGAACATCCTCCTGGGTCTTATGATTGTCTACCTCAGTATTTACTAGCTTGAATTTCCATCACAAATGAGCAGAGTTCTTAGTAACATTGAATTGTTCATTGTTTCAAACAATTATTTGAAAGAAGAAATGAAGGGAATGTAGATGTTTATAGATTTGCAGATGATCCAAATCTGGATGAGATGGCTAATACTGTAGATGACAGAAATGCATTTCAGAATGATCTTGATAAGTTAGAGAAGGGGACTGAAAGTAACAGAATGAAATGTAATTGCAGCAAGTGCAAAGTTCTTCTCTTAGGAAAAAGAAATCAGATGTATAAATATAAGGTGGGGCTTAATGATGCTGAAAGTTGCCGGCCAGAAATGGTTGACACTTCAGCGGTTTGAGCCCAGCTTTCGCGCAGCAGAGGGAGCTCCTGTTTCCTCCCCAGCTCCTCTCCACCCAACAGAACGAAAAAATACAAAAGTAGATAAA